TGACCGCCATGGTCATTTTACCCTAAAACAGTTGAGATTACCTGTGCTAAATGAAACGCATACAAACATCTATACAGGTCCTAGACTAAAGATAAATTTCGCCGCCATGTTGGATTTTTGTTGTTTTGATTTCCCGCTCCCCTCTCCTGGAGAGTGCAATTAATGAAATTATTGCACTGTGGTAATGAAGTAATTTTGCCATGTATACAGTATAATACAGCATAATAAATGCATTAATGTCTTAATGAGTTATGGGGCAGTAGCGATAGTCATCCTTTAGTTGTTTTTGAAAGAACTTGTGTAATTCAACTGAAAGGATATTAGATTTATTTCTATGTTGAATATTTAACGTTTGGCTTTCTGAAGGATTAAAACCAAATAAAGTATGTGGTGTTATTATAGGTACGAATTAAAGTACACTTCATCCTTCCAATTAGTATATGTACATGTACAGTATATACTGCAGGGTTTGTTCTAAGCCTGAACATAATAGATAATAAAAATAACAGTGACCAGATGAATTCTGCAGCGAGATATCGCACCTCTTTTACTTTACATTGCTCCTTTTGTACAACATTAACAAGCAGGGATAACGGCAAATTTAACTTTTGCTGGCTTTGGGTTTATGAAATTTAGCTTTATCAAACTTCATTGAAACGTTTTTTTTTAATATTGATTTCTTTCTTTAGGATGTACAAACAGTGAAATTATTAAAAGCGAAAGAAGGTGGGGGAAATGTACAAATCTTATTGGCAAGCAGAGAGTTGGAAAGAACGTTACGTACGATTCATATTCACCAAAACTCATTGACTACCAATTGTCTCAAAGATATCGCTGGAATAAGGGCTGCATTGGATGTCCTTTCCACGTATTTAGGCGACGATTTTGCTGAAAATGTTAAGCGTTTTGTTGCCCTTCCAAAGTGCCTTGAAACAGCAAAACACCTGTGTAGTAATTCAAGTCGATCTGTTTTGCAGTTATTTTTATTGAAACAATTAGTTCGCCATGACCCCAATGGGATTGAAGCTGTTAAGGAAAGATGTAAAACAAAGGACCTTAAATGGATTATGCCGCCACAGTCTGAGGTAATACAATTTTTCTAATGGTTCTAAACACCTGTCAAGTGCTCTCGTTTAATACATACAATTTGAAACATAAGCTGCATGATCTCACTGTTTATTTCAATGCAGTGGGTGTAAATTTCTAAAACGATCAGTCGTGAAGATCGGCAAACGATCCGACCTGAGCTTTTTACATTAATCTATAGCATTTATTTCTCAGTAGTCTGTTCAGGCAGTGCTATATGATGTCATTTAGTCACAGTGGGAAAATGCGCCTGCCAAAGCTGCTGTGATTATACCAATGCTATGTTTATGAAAGTCTGTATGTCATCAAACAATTGTATTTCAATTAATTGAAATGATTGTATTTCAATTAATTGAAATGTCATTTTTTTCAAGCGTTTTCTTAAATTCGTTGTACAACACTATTGTTAAAATTTTCTACTCTTCAACAGCTTGGGCATAAGCAAAATCAAGTTAATACTCAAATATTAATTTACATTGATAAGCCCGAATATGATTAGATTAGAATGTATTTTTCGTAGGCTATGCAATTAAGCAATATACAGGTGCATAAATGTCCAATTATCCCATCGGAAAGCGTTTTATCAGACGTATAAATTAACATTTAATGTTTGCATGTTCTTTAATGTTCAGAAATGATTTAAGAGTGAATGTCAGTAAAAATCGAACATATGAGACATTGCGCGGCCACGACTGAAAAATCGATTTTGCTCAAATTTTGCCCAGATATACCTTATTATA